GTAGTCGTGCGCCGTCATCATCTGTCATGCCACATGAATCTGCTTCAGGTGTTTAATATGTTAAATTTCTGCACGGCCGCATAGGGCACCGTCTCTTAGAACAACACAGCCTGCTGGTATTGTTACACGAACGCGCCATGATTTCACCCTTGTTACCATTTTGTACTCTTCATTCAGGATCCCGCCGCTGCATAGTCCGATGTTCCCGCACCATGTGCGAGTCTCTGTCCGACTCTCCAGCGACACTGAACACCTGAACATCGACACGGGCACCGAACATCCGGCGACCTGCACGCCTGCTATGGCAGCGCGTAGCAATGCGAACAAGGACGGAGGCAGCCCTTGCTCGCGCGCGCGCGCGCGAGGCTGTCGCCTCTGGCGTGGTCTCCCTTTCGAATGCTGGCGCGACTCCCGCCGCTGATGACCGTACGCGCGAGCACGACCCCTATATTCTTTCAACGACATCTCTGCATGTCTGCCATGGTGCCGCCCTACCGAGGCGCACCGTCGCACCATGTCAAAAGGTGTTCCCGTGCCAACCGCATGCAACACGCCGGCCGCCTTGGCACCGCCGCCAAAGGTAACCCCAGCGCGCCCCAGGTGTGATATCGCTTCGCGACCGCGTCTCCACCCAACTCGCGCTGCTGATAGCCGTCGCGCCGTCGCGCCGTCGCGCCGTCTTGCTCGCACGCGTGCGAATTCGCGGTCACACAGGATGTTCTGCGTGTCATCTTGCCAGAGGCTGCTCGCACCTTGCCTATCGAGCAGACCGTACGGATCGCGCGACGCGCAGCATGCGCGTTTTCCGCCATGCAGTCCGCGCCGTGCAGTAGCCTCGCTCGTGACCGGGGATGCGAGCAAAGGGACACTATTGTTGCATCCCCGGGGCCCGTGCGTGGACATTTGGACCAGCGGGACCCTAGCCAACGGTCGCGATCGCTTGCCCGCACTTGCAGTCATTGCGCGCGTGGGCAGCGCACGGGCACAGCGTCCGGCGGCAGGACGCACGACCGTCGCGCCGGACATCGAGCGGGTGCGTTACGTACGCGGCGGGGCGCCATGACGCGGGGAGGAGGCATGGGTCCGTGCGTGCGCGCGCGCGCACAACAGGAACAATGACGTGGGAAGGGGAGTCGTGCGCACGCGGGCAACGCACGATTACGGCGGCCGGTGACCGGACGCGTCAGTGTCGTGCTGGGTGTCAAGAATCTATCTCCCGGGAGCGACCCCGGCCGTGCGCCGCGTCGCGCGTGCAAAGTGCACGCGTTTTGCCGTCCGCGAATTCTCTGCGCTTGAATACGCCGTCGCGGCGCACGAGATGGCGCTGTCCATCAGCATAGCCATGCGCCGTCGCGCTCGCACGCTTGCGTATTCGCAGCCTAGCAGGCCCTCTTGACAAAGGCCGCACGCCTGTATTGACCGCGGTCATAGAGGGTGAGGGCGGGCTCGTCAGCTCGTCCCCCGCAGGGCAGACGGTGCGACATGCACAGTGCGTATCTACCGGGCGAACCGCGTCACGCTGTAGCGTTGCCCGCGACAGGGCCGTATGTGGACACCCGGACGTGCGGTCGCCAGGCCAGGGGGGTGGGGGCGTTTGCTGGCACTTGCGGTGGCAATCACGCGCTAATGACGGGCGGGCACGACGTCCCGTTGGCGGACGCACGAGTCTCGCCCTGCGCGTTGAAGATCTCCCGGGCGCGGCGCCGGCCCTGCGGGTGGGCTGCCAGGCGGACAACCGCCCGCGTCGCGCATATGAAATGCAGGACAGGACGCGGACGCGGACATGGGCGTGCGCGCGCGTCCTGCCGTTGGCGTATTCTCCGTGCAGGGAGGCACGTCTGGTCCGGTCCCGTGGTGGAAGGCGTCGCGGCGACGCGCGCGAAGCCCAGGCGAGCGCCCCGGCGGAGATGCGCGTAGCTCGGGTGCGGGTGTTGCGGGAGGATAGGCGAGCGGCTGCGTGAGGTACGCGGCGGGGCTGGGCGCCGTGACGCGGGGAAGGGAGCGTCCGTGCGTGGGTTCGCAATGCGGGAAGGGGGGTAGCGGGAAGGATATAAAGAGGGCCGGAGATGGGTGGAGGGTGGTCATCTCCTGGCCGTGAGTCTGTCGCTGTTGACTGGCATGTGTCTCGATGGTGTCTGCATACGGCACCTACGCCTGCTGTCTGTACTTTAGTGTCTGGACTGACCTTCATATGCTGCAGGTACGTGGGCCGACGTTGGAGGGCCCTGAAGAGCCATAGCGGTGAGCGCGGTCACCGGTCGACGTTGGTTTGATTGATGGTGTACTTACAGCGTGTGGAGTTGACAGTTGGTGGATGCAGGCGCGGGCGCGGGCGGGATGGACGGAGTGCTGGGGGAATTGAATTTGATGCGGCGGCGAGTGTTGCGTAGAGGTTCTGCGCATCTGCGCCATATTTCGTTAGCTGTGCCGATGTGCGTGTGAGCAAGCGATCAGAGTGTACATCAGCGTGCTCACGGGGCGCAGATGCGGGCGCGCGTGCGGGCTGCAGGTCCCGGAGTTGTCGGTCTGAGATGAGGCTGCGGTAAGATGGCGGAGGATGCTGTCGCGACGGACAAGAAGTGCGGGCGAGCGCTCTGGTCGATACGCGCGGGCGGCGTGCGGTGGACGGTGCAGCTGCACGGGCTCGCCGCAAATGAGCATGATACATCAATGCAAGACGTGCGCGACTGCTGCAGCGGCGTGAGCAGACGACGGGCGAGCGGGCGCACCTTCAGCTGACGGCGAGGGCGGCCGAGAGGACGGGTGCAGCGTACAGAGGGAGGAACGCACCGGTTCACGGCTCCGCAAGCAGCAAGGAGCGCGCTGTCGATGTCGTGAATGGGAGACTTGAGGTGGCCACTGAAGACGCCGTGTGCGCCGTCCGGCGTGCGCACGCGGATCACGGGCGCGACGCCCTGCGCAACACGCTCGTCCCGGATGTATGAGTGCGCGCCCTCCGCGCGCGTCGCCCAGCCCGAACACGCTGCGCTTGACGCCCTCCAGCAGCTGCGCGCTGCGCCCGCGGCGACCGCCTTTACAAGCGCACGCCCGTTCTGCGCGAACTCGCCCTCCTTGTCCGCGATCGTGACCGCGTCCACCGCCGCCGCCGCGCTTTGCTACTTTCTTGACCCGCCCGCCGTCGCTCGCGTACAGCACCGTCAGCGGCGGCGCGTCGATCGCAGGGAGCGGCTCCGCGTACGCCTTCTGCGCCCGCGCGCGGCATGCGTGGCTTCGCCGCTTGACGTCGCTCTCGGAGACGTCTCCGGCGTGACCGACGTGGTGGATAGCGCGGTGCGGGGAAGGAGGATGCATGGCGGCGTGTGTGCCAGCAAGCGGCAGTGGCGCGGCGTGGGGATGCGCGGATGCGGACGTGCGTGGGCTGTAAGCTGCAGACTGCGCGGGCTGGGATGCGCGAGAAGTGGAGGTGAAGGGCGCGGCTGCGGCTGCACGAGGAGGACGCGGGCGCGCAACTGCAGCACGGATGTGCCAAGGCGGACGGCGGGAGCGCGAGTGTTTTCAACCCCTGACAAGGCATGCCTGTGAGTGCGATCGACAGACGCAGCGTCCACGGTGGAACGAGCGATCAGGATGTAATGGTAGGCGACATGCTGTATACCAGATGCGGGCGTGCGAGCGATCGGCGAGCGGACGCCAGTGGGACGCAGGACAGTGTGAGACGCAGCGAGCGCCGTGCGATGCTGAGCAGAGACGCAGCAAAAGACACCGGCGACCGAACGACGATCGCAGCCCGAGGACCGAGGACGTGTGTGCACGAGCGCTTGGGCATTCGAGAGACGATCGGGAGCTTCACAAACTCGACACCCTCGATCTTGACGCCAGGGGTCCGATACTTCGCGATCTCCGCGTCCGTGCATCTGAACCTCAGGCTTCAGCTTCAGTACTAATATATACCTGGCTTGTCTCTTGGGCTGATACTGTCTCTGTCCCGCCTTCAGTGCCTGCGCCCCTTTGGATCTGAAGTCTTTCCGCGCAGTAGTCTGGATGCTATTGAGCCTCGTCTCATCGGAGCTCTCAAAGTGTCTTGGCGTCTTTGTCGAGAACATATGGAACTCCCGGAAAAAGGAAGAACCTCTTTGTCTGACCTTGTCTGTTGACTATAGCTCTTGCTCGAACAACGGAATGCCACTGCCGCATGTCTGTGGCTATGCCACGTTGACCTGCTTTGATCCTCTGGGCTCTAACATATAAAGCATGAAGTCTATGGGCTTAGAGAACACTGTATCCTCAATTTCTTCCTCGCATCGCGACGTCTGGCCTTCTTACTTGGGTAGCACTTTCGGACAGACCAAGCCATGTCCTTTTTCATGCGGCCCACGCAGCCCACCAAGGACGCCAGAAAGAACCTCCCTGAGTCTCAAGGTCTGTGTCGTTACCCGTTCAGCACCCAGGAGGTCGAAATGCTGTCGCCACACACGATCTCTCTCTCTGGCGCGCGCAACCGAAATGTCTGGGAGGGAAACACAGGCTCTCGAATCCGGACGCAGCAGCAAAACGCTCATGCACAGCAGGCTCACACAGCAGCGGACATTGTCTCATTCCTGCCCGCATCGAGCTTCAATCCGCTGGCTGAACCCTTCGTTCCTGGAGCGTCTCGTATGCACACTTTGGCCGCGACACCGGTGCCACAACCATCTGTACAGCAGACTGCCGCGGCCACGGACGCCTCTCTTGTGATCAGATATGACTGGCTTCCAAGCCTGCGATTGGGATTAGCGGCCGTCCACCCGGCGTCACGGAGAGTCCTTGCACAGTCTATCGTCAGACTAAAGCCGTGGGCCCGGGACCCTGTCCGCGTAGCCATATTGTCCGCCAAGATAGCAAAGTGCGTCATCGAGGGTCACTACCCCAGCATGACGACAGTCGCGCAGTTCTCAAGCGAGCTTCACCAGCTTTTCCAGCGAGAGGAAGGTGGCCAGCTCGCGATGTATTTCAGACGCTGCCTTGAGCTCTACCTCTGCCGCTGCTTCGCCGAGTACTGCTATCCGGTGAGTTTTCCCGTGCATCGCGCGACGTGGCGTTCATACTCCTTATCGTGATCGCGCAGTTCTGTCAGCAGCCCCATGAGATATACTCCATGCGGGCGGCGGTTCGGTCTCGCGATGGCGAGGTGACATGCAGTAGAATCGAGTCGGCGCTGGCGCTGGCGGCGTACGCCGGCGGGCTCTTCGCACAGGATATG